TCGGTATCGGTATCGGTATCGGCAAGTACCAAAAATAAAAGTATCGGTATCAGGTGAGTACTGAAAAAAGTGGTATCGGTGCATCCCTAGTAGTAAGCAAAGAAAAATTAGGAATATTAGCATTGTTCCTGTTTAATTGCAATGGCGAAATCCATCATGGCGGAGAAAATTAATCGTAGATGGAGGTTTTAATCGCAGGTTAAAGTTCTAATCCCTGATTTGTTAATCTGTGTTTAAAATTAAGTGGTGCAACGCAACTCGATTTAAAATAAAACCGAGATCAACAAATCCTTGATTAGCTCTAAACTTTACTTAAATTAATCCCTGTTGGTGCAACCCACCCTAAAGCTTATATTTATTTAGTAAATTTTTAAATTAATGTAAAAACTAAAATGAATTGTAAAAACTTTACTTAAATTAATCCTTGTTGGTGCAACCCACCCTAAGAGCAGTTTAATACCCACAGAAACCCTGTAAAAACAGTGCAAACCGCCCCATCATGCTCAAAACACCAGGAATCGCTCACCTTGTAAATGCCGTCGTATCGGTTGCCGTCTTCAGGACTGTACTTGCTGTGTTTGCGTCCTTTGGAGCTGCGCACGACTCTCACGGGTTTCCCAGCCTTCCAGTCTTTGGCCTCGGCGCCTTCCTTCTCGTTCACCGCCGCGTTGCAGTTCAGAGCAAGAGCCCTACAAACAACACATCAACAATAAAAACAAGAGAACCCATACATTTATTCCAGATGCAATTTCATCTTCGCAACATTGATATCTTCCATACTGCATGAAGCTCAATGCAAATGAATGAAGCCTTAAAAACAGGAGAATTCACGCAAAACCTTTGACGCAATATTCATTAATTACATCTTTAACACTTATTTTCCAGATTATTACTGAGAAGCAGCTTTGTATAAAGCGCTATATTAAAAAAAAAAAAAACTAATAATTTCACACGATTTAAAAGCCATGATCCAACTACATGTTATTTATTAACCCTTTAACTGTCACCCGTCCCCCTCTGTGGGACGCCTAAGTTTACTTCACTATATTACAATTAAGTGACAGTTAAAGGGTTAAACGTGTTAAAAACGTATTTGTCATCATTTGGATGAGAACTTATTCCCAGGACTTTTTAAATGTTTCTAACCTGAGTTTGCACCGCTCAGAGTATAAATATAATAGTGCTGTCAAACGATTAATCATAATCAGTATGATTTAGTTATTTAACCTAATTAATTTTATTATATTTTAATGCTGTCAAACGATTAATCGCGATTAATCGCATCCAAAATAAGTTTTTGTTTACATAATATATGTTCTGTGTATATTTATTATGTATATATAAATACACACATGCATGTATATATTTAAGAAAATATGTTATGTGTGTGTCTTTATATATACATAATAAATATACACAGAACACATATATTATGCAAACAAAAACTTATGTGGGATGCGATCAATCACGATTAATCGTTTGACAGCATTAAAATATAATTAAATAAATTAGGTTAAATAACTAAATCATACTGATTATGATAAAAAAAAAAGTGAATGTTTTTATACAATATAAAAGATATAATTCAGTTAAAGTGTGCTTTTTTTTAATACATTATAACTCATATTTCCTTGTTTTCTTTGGTTCAGTTTACATTACTGTAATAAAAAAAATATTAATAACCAATTTTGAATAATGAACTTTGATACAATATTAAAGCTATAATTCAATTAATTGTGTTAGTTATTAAATGTTAAAACCTTGTTTTGTATGGTTCAGTGTACAATAATTATCAGTATTATAATTAATAATCCATATTTTATATTACATCTCTATCTGAATACTGGTTTATCATCGTGTCATGTAAGTTTTACGATTGTTGTCTTGAACGCGCAGCGCTGCGTTTCGGACCTGTTCATGTTGGTGAGCTTCTGATCGCAGGACTGCTCGGCCGTCCTCTTGTTTCCTGAGAGGTCGCGACCCCCGGAGCCCGTGTAGGTGAACTCGTTACCGTCGTCCTGATAAAGACAGAGTCACAGGTTAACAGAGGAAGGGAAAGACTTCTCAAAGGATGGTTTGGGGCCAGGGGTGTGCGATATTGACAAAAAATAATATCTCGATATTTTCTGGGATTTTATCGATGACGATAATTAGATGATATTTTGCTGAGTGTGTTATTGTGCTGGTACCTTAAGGACTGCCGAAGACAGCTGACTCCTAATGTTTTTAATATTCTTCATATTCTGTGTGGAGGTCAGTTCATACTGATAGAAATTCATCTTTTCCAATAAGTTTAAACAGATTTTTACATTTTATGGGCATTTTTACCTTTATAAAGCCATTTTTTCTAAAAGTGTCCATTATCTTTTGAGTCAAATTCTTACATTTAATCAGGGAATTAAATGCGCACACGCACTAGTCTAGACTTCACGTAATGTATGCGTGCGCTCTGTAGGGATGTTTTGAATGGTTTTTGCAAAATACTCGATAATGTCAAATCGCACATCGTTAAAACAACAATTACGATATTATCGCAGACGATATATATCGCACACCCCATTTGGGGCGAGTATCTGCAGACGTACCACATCGTCTTCATAGCCTCCGGCAAGAACCAGTGAATAAGCGCCGTCGTTACTTCTGCCGTGAATCCCAGCGACGTGAGGCCTGTGAATGCCGGATTCACTCACCTGAGCATCACACACACAACAAGATCACATTCATCTCCAGCACGTGTCCACATGCATGACCATCAGGAAAAAACAGGGTTCGCACTCCTTTCACTGACCGACGAATTTACTTTTTCTTGATCACTGGACTTTTATAAATATTTTTAACTTATGAATTATTTGTGCAGTGTTAAAGAAAAACACTTAAATCTATATCGCTTTATATAAATTTAAATTTAAATATGCAAATATACTTAAATATTATAAACAATTGAAAAAATTACGTAAGTCCATTTAAAACTATTGTTTAAATTATTTTTATATTAAATATGTAGTATAAAAATATCTTAATTTTATGATAAAACGGTTACGAAACACATTATTAGCTTGGTGATTATACAATTTTAAAGAAATGTGTTGCAAACACTATGTAATTGTTTTAAACATCTTCATAAACAAAACTTTAGAAAAAAGAAAATAAGACTTTCTATGACTTATTTCTAAGAGAGTAAAAATAAGTCATTTAGATAAGGTAGGAAAAACTATTTTACGCTTTATTTTGCATTATTTACTAGTTTTATTCCATTATTAAACTAATAATGGAAATTATAATTTATTAAAAAAACCATGTAATTTACTTTTTTTTTTATAAAACTAATATTGATGCTACTAATACTAATAATGGAAACTGTAATTAAACTATAAAAAATATATAATTTTTTATATAAATAAAACTAATACTTTTTAGGGTTTCCATGATTATAGAAGGCCTATAAAAAAAATCTAGTATTATTTACTATTAAACTAATTTTGGAAACTATAATTTAATTAATGTTATTTTTTTTAAATAAAACTAATACTAATAATGGAAACTATAATTAAACCATCTAAATTTTATAATTATTCTTAATAATAAAACTAGTACTTTTTAGAGTTTCTATGATTTATAAAAGGCCTAAAAAAATAATAATAATAAAATAATTATATATATATATATATATATATTTTTTTTTTTTTTAACTACTTTTACTCAA